GAAAATACGTCGTTCTATTTATCAAGATCTGAAAATGAAAGCAGATTGGAAAAACCAAAAAAGGGACAATTTTTGAAAGGAAATGTAATTCTAAAGATTAAAAGTAAACAGAAAGTGATAATGCTCGTGTAGTTGGTTTGGGTGATCCAGATAAATGCCCAAAACTCAACTCAAAAGGTGCAACAGTTGTTGATCGAAGTGTGTCCGCTGCAAACATTTGACTTTTCCAAAGACAACAAGGAAAGGAAATTCTCACCATGTTATTGTCAATGAAGAAAAAAGTACCAAGGCAAGGAGTTCAACACGTAATTCAGTCTTATGTTTTTGCTACAAAATTTTCGGCAAAACTAACTTTTCACTGTCGTAAAACGGAACCAGGATTGGAAGAATTTTTTCATCAGTCTTAATTCTTTACAAAAAGTCAGCAGGTGATCTGGAAACGTTTCAACAGTAGAAATAATTTTTATCTTGACTGAAAATGAACCAAACAATTGACAAGGAAAATCTTCACCTAATCAAGAAAAGGTTGGTTTGTTTGTTTGTTTGAAATTAAGCACAAAGCTACACAATGGGCTATCTGTGCTCTGCCCACCACGGGTATCAAAACCCGGATTCTAGCGTTGTAAGTCCGCAGACATACCGCTGTGCTACTGGGGGGCTTAAAAAAGTGGCAAAACAGAGGTAATTTATACTCGAAAGACTTTTATGCCTTAAAAAAGACCTTATGGAGCTCAAGATAGTTTATAGAAGTCATGAGAAACTCTTCACACCAAAAAATGAAAATCTCATGGTATTTGTTAAATATCTAATCATGTTTGATCCTGTGCTGAAAGAACATATTAGAAGAACTACCATGCAATAAATCTATAACACTATCTGGAAAAAGACCTACAGAATAAGTTGATTTAATTACTGTCCAACAAGACCCAGACTCATGTGTTATCTGCAGCTTGAAATTTCAAGTACTGCTCGATTTTCCTCTGCTGTGGTCCAGATACAAGCTATACAGAATAGATTATGATGACTATTAGGTTTGTCACAAATATTGAAGCATCTACAATTGAAGTTGATGAGGTCAGTATCAATGAGCATTTCCATAGATTTATGTCGTTGAAAGTATTATTGATGTGACTAAAAAACACGAGGAAATTGCGCTGTCCTTGAAAGACTTAGGATACCACAGCTTCGAGAATAAACCCGACATAAATGGCAAGAGTAATGGCCTTCAAAATGGAATTAGAGAATTAAATTCAATAGCTTTATTATTCCATAAATTGCACTATCTTTGGTGAGTTTCTTATTGAACAATGCATTCATATGTTGCACTAAGGCAATGACTTCCTTAGACTTGTATCAAAATATATACGTCTACTTTTCAGCTTCAACTTATCGTTTCGAAGTATTGCTACAACTACTTTTCAGTTAACTGTCAAGTGACGCGCGATAGGAAAGTATAATCAATGGCAGTCCGTGTACGCTGATATTATGTAAGAGAGGTTCACAATGTTTTGGTCTCTACTGCAGAAGTCGAGACCTCTCATAAGAATTAGCCCCCCCCCCCAGTGGCATAGCGGTATATCTGCGGACTTACAACGCTAGAAACCGGGCTTCGATACCCGTAATGGGCAGAGCACATATAGCCTATTGTGTAGCTTTGTGCATAAATTCAAACAAACATAAGAATTAAAATGGTGTTCTGAAGCGAAATCATTGGCTGTCAAGATGCTAAGCTTAAACTCTAAGGCTAATCTTGCGGTATGACACGACTTAATATATGAAATGAACCACGCTAGTAAGCGAATGCAAGACAGGGTTTTCACATGTCTTGAACTATTCCTCAACTACAAAATATTCCTTCATCGGTACAAGACTGGTGAAGGTTTTGTAAAGGCACTTGCCAGCAGAGGGGAGCTTGCAGATGAAATGGAAATCACTGAAAATGTTTCTTTTAAAAAGCAGATTCGCTCAGGAAAAAATAAAGAACATTTTCCCATAAAAGTTGTGATGAACCAATATTCTTGACCCATCGCAAAACTTCAAGGTCAATTTTTTTTAATAAAACCGTTGACACAGCAACTACAGGAATATCATTCATTCTTCATTTTCCTGTACTGTATTGCTAACTTGTAGGAGATGAGCCCCAGAGACTTGCTGAAACAATGCGCGAATCTTCAAATTAGCTTATTAGGTAACGATACAACTTATGTCAGTGCAAGAGAAGTGTATGGTTAATTTCAATGGTGGTTAGAGCGTTCGACTCGTAATCCACGTGTCGCAGGTTGGAATTCTAATCACCGAACATTTTTGCCCTTTCAGCCGTGGGGGCGTTGTAATATTACAATCAATCCCACTTTTCGTTGGTTAAACAGTAACTCAAGAGTTGGCGGTGGGTGGCGTTGACTAGCTGCTATCTATCTTGTCGATCACTGCTAAATTAAGGGCGGCTAGCGCAGATAGCTCTCGTGTGTGGCTTTGCGCAAAATTGAAACCAAACCAAATTGAATCACAAAGGGTGAATACAAATACTCCAAAATATGTATTTGAAAATGTATACAAGAACAGATTACCATTGTTCTTTCCCAACACATTTGTCACTTTGAAATTCTACTTAGTTTGCCCATCACCGTTGCTAGTGAAAAAATAGGCTTTTCTGAACACAAGTTGAGGTAAAAAGTTATATGAAAACAACCAGGTCACAAACAAGACTGGTTGGACTTGCAACTACTGGGATCGAGCATGAAATTATATAATAGTAAGACTTAAAGCAAGCAATGCGAGTGTGACTTTGCCTCAATGAAAGCAAAAAAAAACAACACAAAAACAGATTAATAAAATTTCCATAATTTTACGATTTTGAACTGGCATGGTAACAATGTTTTAACTTTTACCGTCACATTTCCAAGGCAATGATAAATTAATTTAATTTGTAATCCTACGATTTTTTTGTACTATTTTTTGAAGTTAAAATTGGACGGCAGATTGGAAACTTGCTTGATGCAACAAAATACCTTGCGCCAAGCCTGTGTATACATGGCAACTATAACAGTATTATTACAGAAGAATACAGACCTCTATGACATGCCTGAAAATTTATTTTCTAATTTTACCTTTTCTTTATGTTAGATACACTCAGGAACGTGCACAAGAAAGCAAGCAGGGTCAAGCCCCTCTCCCAATAACTAGCCACATGAATTCGGTCATTTTAGTGAGTGTAAATATGTTTATTTCCATGCAAGTGATGTGTGTGTGTGTGTGTGTTAATATGTTTTTTATATAACATGTTTACGTTTAACGTGCTTCCCCCTTCCCAAAATAGCAGTCAATCTTAAATTCCTGCGCACGGTTCTGGATACGCTTGAAAGTTTCTGTATTACTGTAGATTAACATAACAACATAACTTCGAAGCATAGCATGCGAGTAAAATTCTTTTTCAGCAGTACATGTCCTATTTAGATACGTCAAGAACAAGGAAAATTATTAAAATAACGCACTATGATAACACACATTATATGAATTCATTATGGCGTTAGTACAATTGAACAAATATAATGCCAATGTATGTACAAAATTATTAGTTGTGTATCACTTTAGGCATGAAAAACACAAATAATCGATATTGCTCCTTATTGACAATGTTAACCTAATACTTTTATACACTTACAGTAATTTCTTTAATTTTTAAATGGCTGATATTTCTTGAATAAAAGAGCATTCTAAAGCAGTTTTTTGTAACTAATTTATGTGTATTTTGTATTTTGACGCACTTACTTTCATTAGAAATGAAAAAAAAAAACGAGGTGTTTTACATCTTGAAATGGTGAGCTTTACAAATGAATATTAGAGCTCCTCAGTGGCACAGCGGTATGTATGGGGACTTACACCGCTAGAAACCGCGTTTCAATACCCGTGGTGGGCAGAGCACATATAGCGCATTGTGTAGCTTTGTGCATAACTACAAACAAACATGAACAGTGGAACATACACATGATACAAGAGTACTTGAATGAAATATGAATTATTTTACTAAAACATTTATCTCAAGAAAATTTAAGCGTTGGACCCATGTTTATAAATAGTAATAAAACAATTCACCCAAAGAAATTAATAGTGCTATATTTCCTTTTCCTTCAATTTTTGCTAAGCGTCTTCATCAAGATGACATATTCAAGTAAGTACATGTCCGGATTAGGAAATCATACAAATAAATAAAATTTGTAGACGAAAAGTTGTCACATAGTTTTATTTATTTCAAAAAGTGGCACAATGGTATGTATGCGGACTTAAAACGATAGAAACCGGGTTTCGATACCCGTGGTTGGCAGAGCACAGATAGCCCATTGTGTAGCTTTGTGCATAAATTCCAACAAACAAACAAACAATCAAAAAGAATGTTTTTTTAGTTGTGATCTTTCCACGAACTTTAAATACTCACTCAGGCGCTATCCGATTTCAACCGCGTTTTATCCAAAGGAATCAGAAGTGACAAAGAAATTTTATTAAGACTGAGTTTGAACAAGTCAAAACCACACTGTAAATCGTTCTAAACCATTGCATCCAAGTGAAGAAAATCATCCTGCTGAATAAGCAGTCGTAAAATTATTTCAGCTCTTATCAAGTTATAATTTATCAAAAAAACAAAATGAATATTGAATCAAAACTGAGTAATACAGAAAACACATATTATTGTTCGTCTCTGAACAATAACGTATTTTTAGACCAATTAATATTTTAAAAATATGTCAAAAACTTTGTTAAAAAAACATGCATCCCTAAATCTAAATTACACAGTATTCTGTTCTAATATTACGATTACTGGTATGAACTTTGCCCTGCGATAAGTTTGCTTATTACTAGAATTCTCATGACCTTTTGTTTAATTTCGGTGACAGGTATATTGGAGGTTAATGTCTCAGTACAGAAAATCGTCAGTAACGTTTTAAATATTATTGCTTCACCAACTAAGATATATTATTAATATAAAATAACCAAAACCTACTGACCTTTTCTACGCTTCCAGAAATGCCATACTGCGACAACAGCCAGGCAACAAAATACCACTGTGGCTATGAGAGTTGCAGCCACGATCCCCGCCACTCCACCCGCAGAGTAGCACAGATCTTTCGCAGCATGCCCTGGTGTTACTACCAGCCACACCAATAGCCAGATAGAGGGTAAATACCAGGATCTTAAGCGTCTCATCACACTTCGTCTCATATAGCGTCAGGAAACACTATTTCTGTTAAATCGTGGCATGCGAAAACATATAGAACCACACTGTTCGTTACTTACTGACAAGTTATTAGATCCGTATTTACGAGCTTCCTGTCTAGTTTAGGTTGAGTTTTGTATCAGGTATGAGTAGTGAACTTGATCTGTGGCAGTAAACAGTCGCCGACCTTCACAGAAGTAACATATCAGTCTGTCAATAGATTGTGTTCAGTAGATAGCTATGAGTATCAGCCATGTTTGTATCATGTATCCGAATCCTTAATCGTGGTAGCATACTTTAGGCCAGGAATTACAATCTACTAACATCAACTTATTCAGCCGAGTTACATCATGATTTTAACGTTGTATACTTGTCGACAGTCTCCGAATCTTGCTTTACAATTACTGCACGTGCATGTGTGGGGATGTTTTGATCGCAAGCAAACATGCTTCGTTGCCTGTCAGCCAGACGCATGCGCCCAATTTCATTCATGGAAACTATTGCCTGCGTTCATACTTGATGTTGGCAGCAAATATCTCATAGAATTAATTTATAATCGCAATATTTAACACTTGAATAAAAAAGCAAGGCTGACGAAACGACGTTTTTTAGAAACATTCTTTATGCGTTATTACGTATTTGGATATATGACTGTCATAATATATACAAGTAAAGAAAACCTTTTTCAAAAAAGGAAGTAAAGGTAGGGATGGCTAATACCAATCCTTTAAAACAATGCAAACAAGATAGTAGGAATGACATTTGCATCATCCCCATACAATAGCACAAACACACAGTGTAGTAGAATATTAACAGACAAAAATTAAACTTAATTGTGATTGAATAGTTATATATGTTAGCAGAAACGCCACCATACGGACGAGTTTTGTGCTAGTAATTACTAATCGTAGTATTCATACCTCATTGAAAAAATTTTAGAAAAAGTGAACGGGAAAAGTATTCTGATTGTGCTGACATAAACTGTAATGTTTTTATATATTATAAGTGATACCCTTTATTGAAAACAAATAACAGTTTTTTAGGAACTCCATTTTTTAGTACTATATTATAAATTACATCAATAAAAATATAATCACGTACATTCCTAGTGAAAGTCGTGTTCTTGTTCTGAGGAGAGTTCTTTTATTTAGAATTGTGTTCTGTTATAAGGAAATGGTTGTTGCATATACCACAGTTATTTTTCTAATTGTCTGAATCTTGAATACCCATTCAATAGATGGCACCACATTTTATTTATTATTTCGGTCACATACATAGATACATATATACAAGCTACGTTAATTATACTAAGATTGCTATGTGTTAATTCTTGCCTGTGCTATTGTGTAGGGATGATGCAAATGCCATCCCTACTATCTTGTTTGCATTGTTTTTGATGGATTGGCCCCAAGTGGCACAGCTGTATGTCTGCGGATTTACAACGTTAGAAATCGGGTTTTGATACCCGTGGTGGGCAGAGCACAGATAGCCATTGTGTAGGTTTGTGCTTGATTACAAACAAACAAACATTTAAAGGATTGATATAAGCCATCCCTACATTTACTTCCTTTTTTGTAAAGTTTTTCTTTACTTCTTTGCTTGTTTTTTAGTGCATTGTTTCAATAGACATCGAATGGTTATACTTATAACCAAGTTCTGAATATAACGAGATCCCAACTGTAACATTTATTGTTTACCTATTATTGGCTGGCAATTTCTGTTTCACCCTGCACTTAAGCTTTTTAACAAAAAACACTAAAAGTCTGTAAGAAAGCTAACTACAAGGGGTAACGATAACATCGTTTACACTAGAATTATGATTTGTTTTAATTACTACTAGTTATTAATAATATTTATAAAAGCGGATACTCCGTTTTAAACTACGCCACCTAAGTGAAGTTGGTTGACACCATTGTTTTGGTTTTTGAGTTATCATGTAATAAAATAGAAGCAGAAGAAAGAAGAACAAGAAATTCAAACTTGTTGCTATAACATTTACAGAATTCTCAGAACTTGTGACTCAGTCAATACATAGATATTGTTATAAAAGGAAACACTGTGTAGTATTGTAAAGTTCTGATGACCTATTGAGGAGATATTTAAAATACCATTTCGATGAACAATCCGAACCTCCTCTACATAGGCAATGCTATCGCCTGCCCGATATAGTACATATATTTCATTCTTAAACTTCACTTATAATTCTCAAATGTTCAACACTTTCATATTGTAAATCTACCTGTTTCTAACTTCAAGAGTTTTTGTTACGTTAGCCTAATTCACGTATTCAAAAAGAGTATGTCAAACGTTTTGTTGACGACCTAGCATGACCTGGTGATTAGGGCATTCTACTCGCAATCTACGACTCGCAGGTTCGGATCCAATCACAGAACATGCTTTCCCTTTCAGCCGCAGGAGAATTATAATGTGATTATTCGATTAGAATAACCCAAGAGTTGGCGGTGGGTGGTGTTGACTCAATGCATTATCTTCATTTTATCACTTCTAAAATACGGATGACTAGCGCAGATAGCCCTCGACTAGTTTGACATGAAATTCAACTCATAAAATTTTATTGAAGGTTTGTTTGTTTTAGCGCAAAGCCACACAATGGATTATCTGTGTTCTGTCCACCGAGGTGAATCGAACCTCGGATGTTAGCTTTTGTGTACGTAAACTTACACTTGACCCACCAGTGGCTTTACTGAATAATTTACGTGCAGAATTTTCTTGTACGTAAACAAAAATACCAAAAATAATCATAAAATCTATTTAAACATTTAATGGTACCAGAACAATGGCGTCTATACTATATTTTACGTGGATTCCATTACGCAATTTTATTGTTCAACATGATGATACATATTAAATATACATGTCGAAAAGAAATTATTCCAAAATTTGAAAATAAAATTATTTTGCCATTTTTTGCTTCATGTTGGCTTGTTAAAAAAAACGAACATTTAAATTAGTGTTTTCCTTAAATTCCTTTCCACAAATCCATTGACTTTGATACAATCTTTCACGTTCACACTAGTGCTTGTCTTTTACTTTATACTGAACGTTCTATTAATAAACAACTATCAAATATTAAGACGTTTTTGTACAACGAAAAACCAAATCGTTGTGAAGTGTTCGAAGAACCGTATATTGTACTAAATAAGAAAACTACTTCTATTTGAAACTAGTTTCTTTATGTTAGGCGTTTTCGCTTACTCTGCCAGTTAGCATAATACTGTAACTGTTACTGTATTTATGTGAGAACGATTGAGATAAGTAGCTTATTATTAAGTAGTTCGTATTCATTCTATGTATTTTATAAAAGAAAATGAAAGTTTTTATTTTCTTAAATTACCTTAGGCCCACCAGTGGCTCAGCGGTAATTCTGCATGTTGACGTCACTATTGTTTGTTTGTTTCAATTTATGCACAAAGCTCCACAATGGGCTATCTGTGCTCTGCCCACCACGAGTATCGAAACCCGGTTTCTAGCGTTGTAAGTCCACAGACATACCGCTGTGCCACTGGGGGGCTTGACGTCACTAATAATAGGGTTTCGATATCGCTAGCGGGTAGAGCACAGATAGCCCATTCTGTAGCTTTAGCTACAACCGACCAACATTACTATTAGAGAATTTTAAAGCTATTTTAAGCTTGACGCGACCAACTTTGTGAAATTTTAGATAAAGCGGTTTAGAAACATGAAACTGATGGATTAACATATAACATATAATTAATTAAAAAAGAAAGTTTACTACTTGAACAACGAGCATCACTAAACCGTAGATAATTATTGTTTTATAAACCAATGTGTAATAACTTGTCCTACTTTTAATAACATATATATAATTTTGAAGTTTTTATTATCAGTTATTACCACTGTCAAAAACATACCTCTTAATGACAGATTTGACGATATTAGCAAACACAGCTTTGTTTTAATTATCTTCCCCTAAACCATTCAGTTTTGTGTTGGAGGTTATAATGTCTAACTTACAGTAGTTGTAATTAATCGAAAAAATTAGTTATTCACGAGAAACATCTAAAAACACCTAAGTGAAGCACATACTTTGACTAACTCCTTGAAAATGTTTAAATATTTTGGTAAACTAAGGAGGTTACATTTCTAAATTAACAGAAAAATGTTCCATATTTTACCTTCTCTTGTTCATAGGCTGTCTTTGACTACTCCTAATCTCAATTTTTAAATTTATTTTAAATTTAGATTTCCAAAAATTAATTTCTATGATACCCATACCAAGACATTCATTTAAAATGATACTACAGTTTTTCATAATTTCCAAAGATTTTCTAATACGTAATTTATTTTATGATATATTTTATTAACCACTTGAACATAATACTAACTGCTAGAAAAAGCAGTGCTCACCACATGTTCAGCAAGTGGATTCAATAATTTTATGTTTATCTATAACATTTTAATGTTCATTAGCTCCAAATTTCAAATTTAAACATGTCTGGTCAATGTAAATTAAATGATAGATAACATATTTATCATCCTGTTCCACTTTGTCTTTAGGACCATTAATATTTCTTTTTTTCTTATAATGAGAGAAAAACGTTACTCTATGATTAATGTGAATTATATATGTATTACCTATTTATATTGAAATACAGTCTTGCTTCTTCTGATAATGGTGGTGTAGAATGTAGATCACTGCCAAAATATGTAGAGAATGTTCAACAGGGCTTTATGTCCTTTTTTATAAAAGTTATATTTTGCAATATATTTTAATGTTGTGTTTTAGTTTATATATGTATTATTTTATTATCTAAATTGTTTTGATATATATTATTTGTATAAAGAAATGTTCTATTTCTTACAATTTCATTACATATTGTGTTATTATTGTTAAAAGGTTTGAGTTTTAAGTTCTAGTTCTTTGTCTAAGGGTTGCATTGTCCATGTTGCAAGTAAACCTTAACCAGGGTGAAAGTTAATATATTTCTTGACCATGTTATGATTGTAAAGGCAATTGTTTTTAAAGTTAAACTTTATTTTCAACTTCTTTAGGACAAGCCTGAAACAGAAGAAAAAGGAAAAGTGTGGTAAACAGGCATACAATGCATTTCTACCTTTTCATTTTAATGTAGATGTTTCTAAATGTTTTTGTTTGTTCTAAATCTATGCAGTTTTCGCATAACACATGGTGCAGAAAACAATTAAGTTGACTTATTTCTAATTACAACTGTTCCTTTATTGCTCTCCAGAGATAATACAGATAATACCTGCTCAGCAATCATAGTTTGTTGTTATATTGCTACATGTTGTCCAAGAATATCGATGACAGAATTGTAATTTACTAGTAGGGCAGATGATATCTAAAGGTTATGGTCTCCCCAAAGTTTAATGAAAATGACCAGTAACATGGGTAGCAGTAGTCACTATAGATAAATTTGACGTTTCTCTTTAAGTAAGAAACCTTAGATTTAAACAGTACTACCTGGGATCTAAAGTGAGTTTATTGACAGAAAACAATCTTGAGGGAATACATCAGTTAGTCAAATCACGAGTTTAGTAACAGGCAACTGTCCAGTTTCGTAACGCAAGTAAATACACCATTTTTTTTGTCTTTGGCATGAATAAAGATTGTTTTCATTTTGTATAACAGTCTGAGTGCAAGGTGATTTTTATGCTAAAATTAAAACTGCTTTTTTTCATATTACAGTTTTTACATTTTATTAACATAACCTAAAGAACTGCTTCCTAAACAACTATCAAAAGTTTTTTCATTAAGACATTATATTTTAACTGTTATTTTTCTATCCCAAGGAAGCTAATACAAGGATCTCTTGCATTAAATTGCATGTACTCCAAAGCCAATGATTGTGATACAATTGTTGTCTGTTCTGCCAATAGTGACGTAGCAATACTATGCCGTCATTATAATAATGTCTTTGGAACACGCGAACTGTTCTTTTTTACTGTATCTGAGACAAAGAAAAGGTACATTGCCATCTATGACACTGTTACTTGTCATTTGGCCACTTTTGTGTGTGATTATGTGAATGTTAGTATTGAAAAAAAAATGCGGCCAAATGGCAAGTAACTCATACTCGTGCCATCGTTAATAAAATTGACAAATATGATAACAAAATAATTCTAAACCAAGTATAGAGTTTACTATTTTAAGCAAGCAATTTTAACATAATGTTTTGGGACAACATGGGACCTATTGGTTCATATCGGCTGTTCCATCCTCTAAACTAAATTAAAATAATTTTAAAAAATCTTAAAGCCAGCCCTTATCATTCATATACTTAACAAACTTTTTCTTTAACTCACTTAAATTTACTGCCTCCAAAACATCTGAAGGCAACCCATTCCAAAAGCCAACCACCCTGTTAGAAAAATGAAACTGTCTTAGCTGAAGATGACTCCTACCTTGCCCGAATTTATATTTGTGTCCTTTAGTCCTATTATTCTCACTTTTAAATATGAAAAAAGGTGATGCATCAACACTATCAATTCCATTTACAATCAATCAGATCCTTCCTAACTCTTTTTTTTTTCAATAGAAAACAATTTGAGAGATTTCAACCTCTCCTTGTATAACAACCCCTTTATCCAAGACACCATTCTAGTAACCCTTCTCTAAACCCTTTCCAAAAACTCAATGTCTTTCCTCAGGTAAGAAGCCCAAGACTGAACACAATATTCCAAATATGGCCTAACCAGTGACCTGTACAATGAAATTATAACATCTTTAGACTTGTATTCAATATTTCTGTAGATAGAATGTAAAATCCTATTTGTCCTACCACTAGCAATAGTACACTGCTTGGGTGGCTTTAGAGACTGATCGACTATTACACCAATATCCTTTTCCTTCATAACACTATTAAGGTTATTCCCATCCAACTTATACTTATAATTCAAATTATGATAACCCACATGCATTATCTTGCATTTATTATAATTAAAACCCATCTGTCATTTATTTGCCCAACTAACTAAATGATCTAAATCCTTTTGTAAATCATCAGCATCCACTTCACAGCTAGCAACACCTAAAGACCTTAATATCATTTGAAAATTTATGTAATTAATTGACTATTCTATGTCATTGATGTAAATCGAAAAGAGCAAAGGTCCTAAGACTGAGCTCTGAGGTGCCCCACTTGTGACATTAATCCAGTTTGAATGAACTCCATTTGTAATAACCCTCTGCTTTCTTCTATCCAATTTGCTAACTTATCCCCCACACCAATAGACCTCATTTTTTTGACAAACCTTTTATGTGGCACCTTGTAATCAATAATATTGATTATCTTGGCCGCATTATGATATCAATTCTTTTAATCGCTGTTTGTCCAACAAATACCTTTTTACTTGGCCGCGTTGTTTTTTTATAGCCAAGCCGTTTTTGATTTATATATCATATATTTCTCTGAAATACATATACCTTTGTTATATATGTATTTAACAACAAAAAAATCCTTGCTAATGTTAGCATTAGGCACATACAACAAGTTAATACCACACTTCAATAGTGAATAACAGTCAAAACTTGGACAATTCTGGCCAAAGCCTGCCAGTCAGTCAAAACTGCTTGAAAAGCTTATATATTAGTAGGTACATGGAATAAACAGTGGACATTAAACACACACGTCTCACATAGTGAATAGTAAATAATAATGAAATATAAGCAAGTCCTATGGTTATATAGGTAGCACGAGCTACAGTGCGCACAAGTATATAGGATTATGTTTATAGAAAATGAACTTATGAATTAAAATTACAAACAAATCTATTAGCTTGGACAAAGAAAAACAACCATTCTTGTATTTTTATCTAATTATTTAATGACAAATAGTTGTACAGCGCTACCTATTGTGTAAGGTTTTTTTCTTATGGCCTGTTAGTGGGTCAGCTATTTTGGCTGTTCTAAGTCTCATAATAGCTTGATTTACAAGAAATATAAAACTGTATTTTGTGTTCATTTATACGTTCCGATCGGATTTGGTCAAGCTTTGGAAGTTAAACGTGAAAATTTCTCAAATACTTATTATCAAAAATGGTAAGCCTAACGTTAAGCCTAAAAATAACCTCAGCACATGTATAAGGTTACATCACTATTAGTATTACTAAGTATTCAATAGTTACTCATTACTATGATTTGGCTTCATTTGTTTCTTTTCATATATACCCAAACGAAAAACTAACTCCCCATTATTTTTCTTGCTGTTTTCTTTCTTTCTTAATGAAACTTAATTGTCTTAAATACATTGTATACACTACAGTATAGATACGTAGTTCTGTACGGTGTACCCGTACTATAAATTAAATACGATTCATAATAATTTAATATGTAAATATATCAATATTCTTTGGATGAAAAATTTACCTTACAGGAATGGGTTAAAGTATTTTCACTTACTGTATCTTGTAAAAAGAAGGATAAGAGGTGATATTATTATAGCTTACAAGGTTATCTGAGGGAATACTGGGATAGAGAGCTCTGGTTTCTTTGTTTTCTTTTCTGAAATCAACAGGCTGATATGCCACATGCTTAAGATTTGAAGAATACAAGCTAGGCTACACTAAAGACTTATTTTTCTACCATTGGTATTGGCATACGAAATAAGTTACCATCATCAGTGCTCATTAGTGGAGATTTTAAGACCAGAATCAATAATTTTCTGAAAAATAAATGGTGGATTTAAATTCTTAATTAAGGGTGGCCATGTAAGGACAGCCATGAAGGACCAAACACTTGTTGTGTTTTGTAGCAATACTGGAATTAATTTTTCATTTTTATCCATGAGACTATTTTTTAGTGATACTGTTCTTTCTTATATTGTTACCATTATTGAATAGTCTCACGTCAATATTAAATGTTGTGTAACAACATTGGTGCCTTATTCTTTTATTGTAGTGGTATTTGGATACACAGATATCCAACAGATAAGTTTAAAGTATTCACAATAGAATAGGTTCCTGGAATGTTATGCAGGGAATAAGTTGGACATGGACAGCAAAGCAAAAGGAAACAAACACAAGTGAATAAATAATCAAAATCTTTATTCACTATAACATTTGTGATGTAGTTTACTTAATGACCATCTTCTTCATTTCTGTTTTGACTTCACTGGCTGCTAGAATTGGAAGAGGAAGCTTTTCAAAATATGTCTGTTTCAGATGAGGATAGAAAGAATTATCATACTTTCAAATCAGACAAAGGGTCTAAGTACAATATCCCATAATACAAATCTACATGCATTATTGACTATTCCAAATAACATATACAAAGCTGCCAACTTGTATCAGTTTGTAAGTGTTTATGTGGCACCACCTTGAGATTATTTTACCTCCTCAGGAAGTGGAAATGGACATAGAGCCAAATTTATACAAGCTTTTAGCCATTGCTCTGTGTAATTTTTAAGTAAGTAAAAGGATTAGCATATGTTTATGTCTTTTGACATCCATTTGGTTGGAATGCCAGAGGTACATGCAGAACAGCCGCATGAAAATTTAGAAACATTGCATGAATATACTTGAATAATGCTGTATTTAAACTATTTATAGAAAGGTAAAATTAGTACTACATTGTAATGTTTTTATTATTACCTCAAATCATTACTGTTTCATAGCAATATTGAAACTTTCTTTTATTACATTGTTTGATAAGCATATAATATTCACTTTTTAAGATTTTCTCATCGCATGATGATTGAAAGTTAGGTTCTTTTATTCTTCACAATTTCTTTTCTAACTGACTGTTAAATTTTTTAGAAGTGAAATGAAATTGTAAGCTTACTGAATTAACACACTCTTGTTTAACTGTATAAAATGTGTGTGTTATATTATTTTACTTGTTTGTTTTTGTTATCACAGTAGTTTTACTGAGATGTATTAAGTAATGGTTTGGAAAAATTAAATAACTTAACTTCAGTTTAACCACCTGTGAATTTTTATGAAGTTGATGCACTAGATTAGATTAGCGTAGTTAAGATTTTTTATATTACTTCTAATAACTTATATTTTATGAGTGTTAATTATAAATTGAGATTGTATTTTGTATGTAATCACATTTTTCTGCTTAACCCTTTCCACACGGGTCATGGATGAAAGGCCATGTTATTGCATTTGTTGACTCGAATTAAAAATTCTATTGAACTACTATGTTATGAATTAATGTCAATAAGTTTGGTATCAAACTGTATATTATAATTCAAATTTTAGTATTATACATTATTTGATTTCTTAATTTAAAAGTAAATATTAAAAAACATGCCTAAACATTGATTTTTGTGTGTCACATGGTATTTTGAATGCAACACTGGTTCAAATTAGATGTTTGTGATGTCAGAATACAAAGTCTATAGTTTTGTACAAATTAAGAACTCAAATTATCGATACTAACAAGCTAGAATATAAAATAAGAACCTGATATCTTTTCTATTTGCTAAGATATCACTGATGTACTGAATCAAACACAGTGGCCCTGCTCACCTCTTTCCATTTTTGGAAATGCTCCCTTATATACACTTATTTCTGTCTTTGTCATGTGAATAACCAATTGAAAGCTTAGAATGTTCCCCTAATGCTCTCTCAGTCATTTTCAAGTATTAGAACATCATCTCATTCTTTCGATACAAATCTTCCTGTTGGTAAGGTGCGTCTTTAGTCTGCTTGAAGTTTCATGTTTTTTTAGATCCAAATACAGCTTAGTTACTAAGCTTGATAAATTGTAGTGGAATTTTATGGTATCGATATAGTAATTTATGATTTTTTGGTTATTCAAATGCATATATAAAACCTCAAAAAATATTTCATTTCACATCCTCCATGTGCGAAATTTTATAAGGCTTAGCAACCTATGACAAGCTGCAAATGAGTACAAAGGTCGTGACTAGTAAAAGGTAATTGTTTGCTTAACTTCATTATTTACTGTTCTGTGTTTTAAGAAAAATAAGTAAGAAGTTATTTGTGAATGGTAATAATTTATATGCATATATATAATAATTGAAATGTGACTGTATTTTACAAAATACTAGCCCATTAAAACACAGCCAAGACAGGTCACTTTGTAAAGACTAAAGGTTAGTTTTATATTATTGGATATAGTAACATGAGTGCTCATGTGCCACATCATTGTAATTTCTGTATTGTTAGCCAGGCATGGCTGAAAGGTCAATATAATAAATATATATATAAATGTATAATGTTATGAGATTTTAGCTATTTAGTCTAAACATTTGTGTTTTCA